TGGATGTCTTCTTTAGAGAAGGGTCTGTTCATGTTTTCTGCCCATTTCTTCACTGGATTATTTGTTTTTTAGGTGTGGAGTTTGGTGAGCTCTTTATAGATTTTGGATACTAGCCCTTTGTTTGATATGTCATTTACAAATATCTTTTCCCATTCCATTGGTTGCCTTTTAGTTTTGTTGGTTGTTTCCTTTGCTGTGCAGAAGCTTTTTATCTTCATGAGAGGTCAATTGTATCTCAATAGAGCTAGAAAAAACTTATTGTATTATATACTTTGAATGGGTGCAGTTTATTGTATATAAATGTTACATCAATTAAGTTGCTTTTTAAAAATGCTATGGAAAGATCATCTTGATTCAGTTAAAGGGAGGATAAAAGACTTACCTGGATTTGAAACAATAAGCATCTTACAGTCAGGACTATGATGGACTATGGTAGGAATGATCGATTTCATAATGTTCACATTACGTTGGACCAGGGCAAGGCGACTTTCTCCCTCCTGCTGCCGCGCACCTGCTGTGACAATAACTAATTTGGAGTTTGCAGATACACTGTAATCTAAAAAGGAAACAAAAGGCAATACTTGGATCAAGAATGCCATAATTACTGTGCCTTACTTCTTTAAACGTGTTTGCAGATGAACAGACTTTCCAGACTTTCCAAGGCCAAGGAGGCCTTGTCACTATGACTTACCAGTTCTCACATTTTAAAAAATAATAACAAATCCTACCAACCCATTTAGCCCACATTCTCATTTCTTATTAAGACCTGAGTCGATGTAAGTCAGCTCCCTCTGGTTTCTTAGAAACACCTTATGAAGCTTAGAACTCTGAGAATTCATGTATATGTTTCAGGATTCTAAGGATAAGCATGTATTTATTTCTAATTATTATAAGGGATGAGATTTGAGATCACAGAGAAGTTCTTGATCCACACAAGAAAGTAAACTACTTTATAAGTCTGATGACCAGTCATAAAATTGTTTCACCTATTAAATCCAATGATAATATAATATGATGCTCATTATCCCATACTGGACTTTTAAAAAGTTATTATATACCTGGAAGTTATTTTCCATATGGATATAAAACATTAAATTAAATAAAATCTGTATATCCCATCTCTATTTAAAAAAAAAAAAACTTTAAAAAACTTGTATGCTTTTTTTATTTGTTTGTTTGTTTTTGTTTTTTTAACTAATCTCTACATCCAAGTTGGGGCTTGAACTCATGGCCTCAAGATTAAGAGTCACATGCTCTTCTGACTGAGTCTGCAAGGCAATCCTATACTCTTTTAAAAAAGGAAATCTGCTGGGGCGCCTGGGCGGCTCAGTTGGTTGAGTGTCCAACTTCAGTTCAGGTCACAATCTCTCAGTTTATGGGTTTGAGCCCAGCGTTGGGCTCTGTGCTGACCGTTCAGAGCCTGGAGCCTGCTTCGGATTCTGTGTCTCCCTCTCTCTCTGACCCTCCCCCGTTCATGCTCTGTCTCTCTCTCTCAAAAATAAACATTAAAAAAAAAAAGTCCTCTTCACGCTGCCCTGTTTGATTTTTTTTTTTTTAAAGTCTATTCTTGGACCTTTGAATTTCTAAGTGAATCTTAGAACAAATTTAGTATCTACAACAACAACTGATTTTTTTAGGGTTTTGACTATAGTTGCATATGATCATAATCAATATGAAAAGAATGAACGCCTTACAATACTGAGACTTTTTTGTACAAGGCCTATCTAGTTAGGTATTTAATATTATCCAATAAGGCTGTATTCTTTCCTGTATAAAAGCTCTTAAAGATATTTTGTTAGATATATTCACGTGCACTTCCTATTTTTGAGGAAAACATAAATAATAGCTTTAAATTCTTTTGCTTGTTTTTGACATACGTAAGCACAATGGATTCTTTATTAATAGCTTCATGTCCAGCACCCTCACTAAACGCTTAGTTCTATATGTTGTCTCTGTTATGTTTTTTTTTTCCCATTACCTTCTTTTTTATTCACCCGGTATGTTTTTGTAATTTTACTTCTTCCCCTTTACTAATTTAGAAGTTACACCATTTCTATTCTTTTAAAGGTTGTCACATAAGTTACCATATGTGGGGCACCTGGGTGGCTCAGGTGGTTGAGCGTCTGACTTCGGCTCAGGTCATGATCTCACTGTCTGTGAGTTCGAGCCCTGCATCGGGCTCTGTGCTGACAGCTCCGAGCCTGGAACCTGTTTCAGATTCTGTGTCTCCCTCGCTCTCTGCCCCTCCCCCACTCACACTCTGTCTCTCTCTCCTTCAAAAACAAGTACACATTAAAAAAAAATTTAAAAAAGAAATAAATATAAAAAAATAAAAATTTAAATTAAAAAAATTAAATAAATAAAAGGTTACAATACGCATACTTAACTTATCCAAGTCCAAAGATAATCATCACCTTTCCACCTTCCCTAATGACTGAGGAACTTAGAACACTACTTCATTCATCACTACTACCTTTCATCCCCAGATTTATATGCTATATTTAAAATGTTTTAATCCCATAAGACATTATAGTCTTATACATTTTACATTTATTTAGATTTGTCCTCATTTTTACCATTTTCTGTGCTCTTCATATTTTACATCTCAGACCCGAGATCATTTTTCTTTTGTCTTAAGTATATATTTTTGTGTTTTTATTAGCAAGGTTCTGATGGCAACTATCTCAGTCTTTGTCTGAAAATGTCTTTATTTTAACCTTATTCTTGAAAGATATTTGTGCTATGTAGGGATTCTGGATTGACATTTACTCTCTCTCAGCACATTAAAGATACCATTTCAGGGGCGCTGGATGGCTCAGCTGGTTAAGCGTCTGACTTCAGCTCAGGTCTTGATCTCACAGTTTGTGAGTTTGAGCCCCACATCTGGCTCTCTGTTATCAGCATGGAGCCTGCCTTGGATCTTCTGTCCCCTTTCTCTCTGCCCATCCCCTCCCCCATCTCATTCTCTCTCTCTCAAAAATAAATAAACGTAAAAAAATAAAGATAACATTTCACTGTATTCTGGTTTCGCTGTGCTATTGATGTATCAATTACTCTCTCCCTTTTCTGTAGGTAATTTGTCTAGTGACAATTTTTTCTTTTCTTTGCCTTTAGTGTTCTCTAATTTCACAAGAAATGTGTCTAGGTAGGATTTTATATTTATCCTTCTTGAGATTATTTGGCTTGAATGTATGGGTTGTTTTTCATTAGTTCTCAAAAATCAGGGGTGCCTTAGTGGCTCAGTAGGTTAAGCATCCAACTCTTGATTCCAGCTCAGGTCATGATCTCACAGTTTGTGAGTTTGAGCCCCGCATTGGACTCCACACTGACAGCATGAAGACTGTTTGGGATTCTCTCTCCCTCTCTCTCTGCCCCTCCCCCACTCACATTCTCTCTAAAAAAATTGTACAATCATACTCTCTTCAAATATTTCCTCTGCCCCACTTTTCCAATTAAATGCACATGACACTTTATCCCTCTATCCTGTATGATTCTTAACCTGTCATATTTTCTGCTTCTTGCTGTCTGTGTAATTGCCTTAGACTTATCATTTCTCTCTTCAAATGTATCTGCTCTATTATTAAATCCACTAATTGAGTTTTTTATTTCACTCTATTTAATATTTAGAAGTTATATTTGGCTATTTTAAAATCTGGTGTTTTTTAATAGTTTCCTGTCTTATACTGGTATTTTCAAGCTTGTCCTTTATTTCTTTAAATGGAATAATCATAGTTAACTTATAATTTGTGCTTCATAATTTCAGTATCTGAAATCTATGATGGCCTTTTCTGTTATCTCTGCTGGTTCTTGCTCATGTATTTTCTTTGTAGATTTAATTATTCCTACTGTAAGATGTTCAGGTGGGGGGGGGGGGGGGGGGGGCGGATTTTACTTGTGGAGGTTCTTTGAGGCCTGAAATAAAGTGGATTTCTTCCAGAGACTATCTTAAGTCCTAAGACTGCTTGAGGTTTTTTTGGAATTCAGATAAGGGCCAGCTGGTGGCTACAAGTTCTTAGCCACTATTTCCCTCCTTTACTAAAGCAACTGACACACTTGATTTTACTGTCAGTCCCCAGAGGTAGGGAGAAAGGAATTATTTCTAGGTCATCCTTATATTAAGGATTGGCAAATGAGGGCCAGCAAGCCAAATCTGGCTGACCACCTGTTTTAGTAAAAACAAATCTCATTGGAACATAGCCACACCTACTCACACATTGTTGATGGCTGCCTTAGAATTACAATAGCAGAGTTGAGTAAGTTTTCACAGAGACTGTATAGCCCACAAAGCCTAAAATATTTACTATCTGAGCCTTCACAAAAAAGTTTACTAGCGGTGCCGGGGTGGCTCAGTTGGTTGAACCTCTGACTCTTGATTTTGGCTCAGGTCGTGATCTCACAATTAATGAGTTTGATTCCCACATCAGTCTCTGTCCTGACAGCTTGGGATTCTCTTTCTCTTCCCCTCTCTCTGCCCCTTCCCTGCTCTCTCTCTCTCTCTCTCTCAAAATAAATAAATAATTTTTTCAAAAGTTGACTAACTCCTGGTATCCATTGGGGTTCCAGCTTTATGGGGTTACCTCCTATGCAACTCCCCAAATTAAGCTCTGTCTCCAGTCTCCTAAATCCTATGAGACAGTGGAAGCCAAAATTAAAGTTCAGAGTTTGGCTAATGCTAGCTAGTGAAAACTAGCTACAATGCTTGCCCTAACTCTCTAGTTTCCTGACTTCACTCAGTGCCTATCAATTCTTGAAATATTGAAAGGAGTGCTCGCTTCGGCAGCACATATACTAAAATTGAAATATTGAAAGGATTGGTAATTTATTTCTTTCATACTTTATGCAGGAATTTTATTATTTATAGCAAAAATATTGACCCAGGTATTTATCTTGCCACATTAGTAGAAAATAAAGACTGAATGATTTTTTTTTAAGTATTTTAATACGGCAGGATCTCTTTTAACCTGACTCCACTGAACTGATTCAATAGATTTACTGATGTAAAACATATGGACACCCAGGGCACACTGAATACTCTGAACCAGTACATCTCCATAGGGGAGGTCTGTGTACTTCTGTTCATTAGCTGTTACATATCAAGAATTAGTCATGTTTATATCCAAATGTATTTATGCCAATTATCTCTGCTAATTACATAATACAATGTACGTCACCAAAATACAAGTGTGAATGAAATGCATGGTAAAGGTAACCACTATACTCAGGATTGAGACATGAACAGATGTAACACAGAACATATCAACTGAATTGGTAATGTTTTATTATTTCTTGCTAGCTGTTGGATACATTGATGTTTGTTATACTTAAACTCTTTTTATATGTCAAGTACCATAATTAATTTTTTAAAATAATTGTTTCCTTTTTAAAGTTTATTCATTTATTTTGAGAGAGAAAGAGAGTGTGCAAGCAGGAGAGGGGCAGAGGGAGACGGAGAGAGAATCCAAAGCAGGCACCTCACTATCAGCGTGGAGCCAACACAGGACTCAATCTTATAAACCCTGAGATCATGACCTAAGCTGAAATCAAGGGTTGGATGCTTAACCAACTGAGCCACTGAGGTGCCCCTAAATAATTGTTTCTAAGAAAATTAAGTTGAGGAGCGCCTGACTCCTCAACAAAGTGTCCAACTTTGGCTCAGGTCATGATCTCATGATTTATGGATTCAATCCCTGTGTCAGGCTCTGTGCAGACAACTCAGAGCCTGGAGACGACTTCAGATTCTGTGTCTCCTTCTCTCTCTGTGCCCCCCCCCCCCCCC